ACCAGGAAGAAAGACGAGGATATTCCCCGGCCCATGATTCTGGTGGATGTGCTGCACGGTATTGGCAGCCAAAACGCTGCAGTGTGACGAGGCCTGCCCCGACGCTATGTAGCGGACATCGACCTGGTAGTTGCGCTGTATATAAGGAGGTCACATTAACAGGCAAGTCTATATTATATAAGGTGAAGCAAAGGTTTAAACTTACGCCTTCAATGTGGACCAAGGGGCAATTGTTGAAGTAGTCTTGAAACAACTTCGCATCCACCGTGGCCGACATGATGATGACCTATTATAATCAGGGTTAGATAGGTCCATACGACTAAGTAATCAAATGAAGTAATAAAAGAGGGGGGGGGGGGGTGTCAAGGGAGCATACCTTTAGATCCTTTCGACGGCAAAGGATCTGCTTCAACAGCGCCATGAGCATATCTATTTCGACGGTTCGCTCATGCGCTTCGTCGATGAGGATGCAGGCGTACTCCAACAGGTCTTTATCTGAGACCTGCTTGGCAAGGAGAACGCCTTCCGTCAAATAGGCAAGCCGAGTTTTCTTCCCATTGCTGTCGACTTGCCTATCGCCACCAATCTGGTAGCCAATCTCCTCGCCCAACGCAACTCCCATCTCCTGAGCGACACGTTGGGCGAGGTTGGTTGCGGCTAACCGCCGCGGTTGGGTGCAGGCAATGCGTAGGCCGCTTGCATATTCGTCGTAAACCAGCATCTGGGGGAGCTGGGTCGACTTGCCTGACCCGGTTTCGCTCGATAGAACGAAGACCTGATTCTGGTGATATACATCAAGTATTTCACCAAACTTTTTGTAGACCGGTAACTTGCGTCGGTCTACAAGAATCTTTTCATGACTGGTAGGCCACGCCTTGCCAGTCAGCGGATTGGTTGTGGCGTCTTCGAGACGCTTGATTTGGGCCATAGTGACCTGGTTGCGAATGATGGACTCCATTATATCGATTTATATTGAAGTCTTGAGAAAGTAAAATAGTTGAATTTTTTTTAAATAAAAAAAGCCGGAGCTGGTAACGTTGTGTGTGTGTGCGTGTGCGTGTGCGTGTGTGTGTGTGAGTGTGTGTGTGAGTGTGAGTGTGAAAGTTTATAGAAATATAAGGTCGTGTCAAAGCCGTGTTTTTTTTTCTTATCAGATTGTAGTTTGAAGGTAATTGTGACCAATTAAAGCAAATAGATGTATTTTCAATAAAAAATAGTCGGTGATAGGTAGATAACATAGCCCTCATCTAATTTACAAACAGCAAAAACCTCATCAAACGAGGCTCACAACCAACGCAGCTTCCACCACAACAATACTCAGTCCACAACGCTGTTCGCAAAAACTTTTTCAAATACCGTTACAAAATCGCCCAAAAGACAAGGTTTGTTATTTGCTCAAGCCCTCCGTTACCCTCAGAAATACGGAACGATGGCTAACTGATCTAGCAAGATGACACGTTACGACGAGCAGTTTGAGAGCCAACTCGCATACATGCGAAGCCAGCGACAACTCCTAGTCGCTAAAAAAATCCCTTTCGAGTTTACCTGCTCAGAATTTGAGCAAGCTTGCTGCACCAAGCTCAGCAAGCCACAAACCGTCAAGTTCTTCTGGCGGAAGGTGGAGAAGCCTTGGCACAAGCATCGTGGTTGGGTGATGCTTGGGTTTCGGCTACGGTCTGATTGCAGACTAGCTGAGGAGGAGCTCAAATCCTTTGAGTTCCATGGCCAAGCGATAACAATCGAAAGGGCAAGCAGGGTGGCTGTGAGTAGCACCTATTCGGGTTGACAACATCTGCTAACTAAATGCAAACTATCTACAGTTTAAACCGCTCAGCTTGAGAACGGCTCCCCCCGCCGCCCCCACTGGTGCCCCCGCCGCCGACGCTGCCCCCGTCGCTCCCGCCGCCGTTCCTGCCTCTGCCGCTCCCGACACTGTCCCCGACACTGCTCCTGCTGCTGTTGCTCCCGGCCCCGTCTCTCCCGGCCCCGTCTCTCCCGGTCCCGCCTCTCCCACCGCCGCCTCCCCCACTGCCGCCACCACCACCGCTGAGGAAGAGGTCGACACTCTACAGTGGGATGGCGCAGATGAAGAGTTTGATCCCGACGAGATCTACGTTTAAGATAAGGCACGTATGATGGCGAGTCAGTCACCCATAATGTTTCTCCTGACATGGGATACCTATGAGTCTATTGTCTGACTTGCGATGAAAGAAAAATTGAAAACAAACAAACACACACACACACACACACATACACACAAAACAAGAAGGCGAAAGCCTATCTTACCTGAATAGATGGGGGAAACCTCACTCTATTTTTTCTCTTAATCTGGGTTGCTCCCAGTCACTTTATGGGTTGAAGATTCCTTGGGCTTCGGCCCTAAAGGTCGTATGACGCTAGCGTCTGGTATCCCTCCGGGGACGTGTGTTCGAATCACACTACGATAAATGGTATTTTCATCCCACTGTGCAGGATACCCCGTCTCTATTATCCCCTCTAGGCATGCGATACAAAGGTTCTTGATGGTACGTTACCCTAATATACGCTAGGTTTTAGCAACTGACCATTTTATCACGTTCGAGGAACCACGAACGTAGAGGCGCGATACTAGGTTTTTTTTTTGGCCACAGTCATAAGGTTAGTGGCGACGTGTAATTCCCGTTCAGGTTCGTATCTCCTCCATCCATCTTGACGTATACATACTTATCTAACTTGCACGCACTTTTCTGGATTGGATCATCAATCTGTATGATTGGATCCCTTTGGGTTAAGTGGGAATGCAAGTATGGATAATTCCAATTCTTGCCTTTCAAAACCTGGGGCAGAACCCAACTCTAATTTACAAAGCTTTTTGAGACAGTTCCTCTATGGGAGTGTCAGTTGTCTCAAAGGCGTCTCTCCCCAGAGCTGGCGAAATCGATTGAGCTCCGCACTGAGGTTGGCGCTGAGGTTTCAAGGTTCGTACCCATTAGCAAGAGGAGTAGCTGTTTGCAGCAAGTCATATTTTAACCAGTTCTTAGGGTTCCCTTCGTCTTTGAACGAATTTTTCCCGTTCTCATTCATGTTCATTCAAGTTACGCAACATGCATAGAGGTGACGTGAATCTATGAACTGTTGTACGATAGAAAGAGCGGCAATAGGAGGAAGCAACAGTACGAACCAGTCATTTTGCTGGTATCAGTGAAATGGATCGATGAGGTGGGAAATGCAACGAAACAATAGTGCAGGGTTGCTCAGTCACGGAAGGCAGAAATACAGAAACCAGATGATAGAAAAGGCATTATAAAACAGTGGTATCTTTGATCATTTCCGTCGTACTGATATGTTCCGTGGTGCTGGTACTAGTCTCCGACCCAATACAACAAAGAATGCTACCCACAGTCGTCTCATCTGTTTTCTCAATTCGATTACAGCTTTGCATTGGTCAAGGGTCCCTACACTCTTGCGCTCTGTAGTCTCTCTATCATACGCTCCTTCCTCACCAGCGGACGCGCTGCCCGACCGGGCGCGTTCGTGGCAGATCACGCTAACCCAAAACCTGCTCCTGAGTCGCTTCACAAGTAACACGAAATAAATGGAAACTCGCGCCATCGGAGTAGAAAAGAAGCCTGTAAATATAAATCAAATAATGTTACTATCTATTGTAGAAAGAGACGAGTATCTCTTGCTAAATCTGCAGAGCCCCCTTACTCACCTTGACAACATTGAAGTTGAGGATCACCAACATTAAATTGAGCGGCGCCTTGGACGTGAATGGCAAAAATGCAAACCTGGTGTGAGTGATTGATTTTCTTATTGGGTGCATTTGACAATCAGTCGCCCCAATTTTCAAAACAAGCGGTAATTGGTTCTTTTTGCCGCGTTCACCGCCTTGAGTGATTGCCTCTTGTGGGCTGGTGGGGTTGGTGGGGCTGTTCCCTACGGGGCTGGAAGACATCCTCCGGACCATCCCGCGTGGACCCAGTGTCCCCAGCATTTTGACTTCATTCCTCGAGATGCAAAGTGTTTCTGTAAATAAAATAACGTCCGCGTCGCACGATGAGTCTTCTGTAGTACAAAACAAAACGTATTTTAGCACATATGCTCAGACTAAATTTTAGAAGCTTTTTCATGAATTCAAATTGCATGTGCATTGCTTGCGACTCATTCAATAACGGCCATTCCAGCGTCGTGAGAATTACCACTTTGATTACCCTAAAGCTACGTCGTCACCTCGTCCCGTGCTGGACCTGTGTGGGCAACGCTCTCAGGCGGTAATAAACACTTACCGTATTAGACTTGCTATGCACGGTCCCCAACCCCAAGAGATTACGTGTAAACAAGGCAACGGGACGTCAATAAACACATGCACCGTGGATGGACCTAGTTTGTGTGCATTCAGGCTCGTTACAAGGCCGGTCCTCCGTAGTCATGAAGATTGTACCAATGGAGATGGACATGGGCATAATCCCATCAATACTCGATACAACCAGCTTTTGGAAGAGCGAATCTGTCGTTGAGCGACCAGATACGAGTATTAGTCAACATCCATCGACGAACACACAATTGCTTTTCGTTCTCTTGTAGGCTGTGGGCGAATACTTGCAGGACAAGAGGGAATACTTTGTCAACTGCTTGACCTCAATCTTATTGGCATTTATAGATCTCATCAATTGCATACCTCCCATTCTAAGTGATGTTGCCAATCCGTAGGCATTAAGAAGTCCATCCTTAGGTTGGATGATACCCAGCGACAAGTTCAGGACAGTTCACGATATACGTCATCGCATCGTCCATGGGACATTGGGTTCAAGATCTGGAATCGTGTCGATCCCGCTGGTCTGTCCAACAATATTTAATTTCTCCAATTACAGAAATTGATAGACAATGCAGACAGCACACTCCTTTCAGTGCTCGAGTTGGTATGTCGGTTGGAACATGAAGGGCGAGCTGGATGTGGCTTGATGAACTTTACGATATATAAACCTGTTTTTTTTACACTCTTTCAACGCTTTAAAGCAGGTCCTTTGGCGCAATGGCTAGCGCATTGCTTTCCGGATTAGGAAACTGGCAAAGGTTCTAGGTTCGAGTCCTAGGAGGATCGTTTCTTTTTGTTATTCCCTGCTTTTTGATGTTATTCCCGGCTCTTTGTGTGTGGTGTTGATATGTTGGAGGTTGGAGTGGAAATTGTGGGGCAATGTGGCGCAGGCTGTGGCGGTGGAGCTTATCGCCCCACTATCAATGCGATAGCTGCTGAGTCAGCATTGGAGCTTATCTCCTCAACGACTGGTTCACAAGATAAACCACCAGTCCGTTCAATCACGCTATAGTCGATATATGTGCAGAATGGGCTGCAATGCGCCTGAACTTGTGGTCGGATTTTTTCAATGAATTGCCCAAGTTGGATAGTTTGATTCATCTAATGGACAATTCAATTGCTGAGTTGCTGCCTGCTCAAATTACACGACCTTGTGTGTAGGTCCCGACTTCCCTCAATTTCCTGGCCCAATTTCGGATACGCGCACTGACTCTGAGACCCAGCATTTAGTTGAAGACGAACACTTGGACCAAGCCGGCCCGTCCCTGTAAGGCTAAGAGACAGGTCGTCACTGCCATTTGCGAAACGGAAAAGAAGATGTAGGCAGTGTAAGTAGTCTGGGATGGGCTTTACGAATGGGTTTTTAGCGCAAATGTGAGCAAGGATGATTGGGAGGGAGGAAATGCCTCGAGGAATAGATTGGAGACATCTACGCCTGGGACGTTGGGAAGAATGGGCGAAGCGGGCAGCAAAATCTGCCTGATGAAGAGTGTTGACCGTCAAGACAAAGATGACGATGGAGTGGGAACACTATATGCTTTCGCGCCTCTCTAGTAAATAAAAAACATCAATCAAGCATAGAGGTGAAGAGCACACACTTCGTGGGCATTAATTGTGCATCCCGTTCAATCGGTCTTGTGAGGATGTAATGTTTGGCAACGGTCAATGCACGACAATGAGGTTGAAAACTCAATGAAATCGCAACGCCTCATATATTAATGGTCCCGCGACAGCCTCAACGAAATATTTCCACGAATAATCCACTGTACTCTCTTTTGACAGTCACCAATCACCAGAATCGGTCTGCTCCATGATTGCCTGAGCTACTTGAGCTGCCTGAGGCTATCGCCGATAAGCTTGCCCTTTGAGGCGGGCACGACACCTTGGCTCCTTCCCAAAGTTGCGATTAGGGCAATCACTTACAAAATGTTGGCCTTATAAGGTATTCCACGACGCACAAGTTTCCAAAATGTTATGTACGTACTGCTGTCAAAATCAGATTTGTCAAAGAGTTCCTCATCACAGAAAGAACACCAAAGATTCCACAAAAGACTTCATCAAAAGACTTTTTTTTATTTTAAAACCAATTATCCAGGTTCATACTTCTTTCCCATTGTGACAGCTTATACTTTACTTACATTTCAGCAAGCAATTTCGGCAAACGCAATGGCTCCTCAACAGCGAACCAATGGCGGGCGTCAAGATGCCCAGAAGTCAGGAAGGGCCGGCAGAGCAACTGCCACAAGTAAGTTTCGGCATTTAATAATAGTATATTATTACCAACTAATAGTCAATTAGAAACCCCATTGTCGGATATATCCGGCAATATTACGTCGGCCAAGTCCTCAAAGCGAACGATTGAGGACTTCTTCAAGGGCCAAGCTACCAAGAAGCGGCGCCAAGATGGCCCAGAACCGACCACCCCCTCTGCAACAGAGGAACCCCAGGCCAGCACCGAAAGCCTGGTTGACGAGGATGACGACTGGGCGGAGGACCCAGACACCCCCCGGGACGTGGACGAGGACCTGGGTTCCAGCGCCGAATTGGAACAACCAGTTACCGAGGAGAATGGCTGGATCCGAATTGGTCCACAGCCAGCCGGCCTGGGGCATGACATTCACTCCGCCCCGATGTCAAAGGCCAACTCCCTGCTCAAAAGAAAGCTCCGAATAAGTGGCCAAAACAGTGATGCCAAAGTCCCTGGCACCGATTCGGCCAGTGTGGAAGAGGGCTGTCAAAGGCTAATGCGGGAGCTGGTGGCCACATTGACGGAGCACACCAACGGCTCCGTCAAGCGCCTGTGCGACTACACGGGCCGAGAAATGAGCTGGGCCCCGGGGCCAAAAACGGTGTCACTCGAAGCCGTATATCCCTTTGTTTCCTAGGATGGATCATTGCGGTATCACGCGGCCCCGAACGCTCACCTTGTCATGAATGGCTTGAACATGGTGAAGCGCCGATACCCTATCGCCATCCTTCCCCTGCTGGCCGTTATCCTCAACGCCAATGTCGACACGCAGCAATCGACAATCGCCTGGGCCTTCAACGCATTGTGCAACACGGCCAGTTTGCACTATTCCTTCAAGACGGTAGTCTCAGTCAAGGCTACTCGTTTCAAGAACTGGGCGGCATGGGACGAGGCGAAGCAAAGGGCTATGCTGGAGGCCCTGCGAACAGTTCGAAAGACGCCAACTGTGGATGAGGTATTGTCAACACCAGACCAGCTATTTCGAGTCGATGCCGCTCCCACCCAGATACGCCAATCATCGTTAATTGACGGTGAAAATTCGCGATGGGAGAGACAATATCCAGTTCTCCTGCGGATCGCGGCTAGATATGAACTCAATAGGAACGACTTTGAGTTCTATCTTACTATCCCATTGACAGGGTTAAACAAGCGGGTATTCTACCCGTTCCATGTGCTGTCAAGACCTCAAGCGCAGACAATTGGATGGAATTGGTACCATCTCTCTAGGCTCGCCGCTCGGATGCTCAATACAATGCGAAAGAAGTGCAATAAGCACGCAGAAGCAGCGGGCCTTGGGGACAAGGGCATGAACGAGATCCGCCTTGTCTACTGGATGGTAGCCCACTTCAGCAGCCAGATCCAAACAATCAAGAAGGACATGCCGACCGCCACCCGCGAAGAGATCCGGTTCCAGATCCTCGATAGATGGGGCCTGCCTATTGTACCCTGGGTCCAGAATGTGCTTTGCGCTTCCCTTTGCAAAGGGCCCGATCATGGTATCGCCATGCAATTTGGGATCACCGAGCCGGTCGGCCTAGAGTCTTTCGATCCCGTGAGGCACATTGACCTCAGCAAATGTACGATTACGATCGACACCATCGCGACCAACATGGGGATGTGGAACCATCACCGGGACTCCTGGCCACAAATCCGGGAAATCCTCCGTGCCGTCCCGCTTCGCCATCCCCTGTGGCGGATCGACGACTGCGCTGGCAACAATATCTGGGGTGCTATGGCGGACCCAACAATCAATCCTACGGTACCGGTCGCGGAATTCGACGTGCCACTGGTGCCGATTGACGCATGGTTCCAGAGCTCCGTGCTCCGCCCACGATGCGAGCCCTGCAACGTGGAATTCCAGAACCTCGGTCTGTTGGTGCAGCACTGCCGATGCACCCACAGCTCCGTTGCCACTCCGATGCAGGAGCCAACCAGTTCCGAGCAAGACGACATTGACGCGAAGTACTGGAGGGACGGATTCACTTGCTCCTGGCCTGATTGCGATCGGGTTATGGGCAGCCGTCAACAGCTCGAAAGACACATGCGAATGCATACCAACGATCGAAGATTTCGATGTGACTGGCCGGGTTGTGATTATGCGACGGTGGACTCGAGCCACTTGACCACACACAAGAGAATCCACACTCGAGACCAACGATTTGCATGCGACTCACCAGGCTGTGACTATGTCGCGACGAATGCACAACGTCTGGCCGACCACAAGATAAGTCACACCCAAGACAAGCCTTGGGCTTGTGACTACCCAGGCTGCGACAAGAAGTACGCTCGGAATGCTGAGCTCACCAAACACAAGAAGTCGCATACTGGGCAGGCGGAGTTTCGTTGTGATGAGCCAGGTTGCAATATGGTATGCACTCAGGCTGGAAATCTAAGGAGGCACAAGGATAGGAGGCATCCGGGTTGGAGGGAAAGGGAGACGACCAAGTAATGGTCTACGCCCATACAGACACAAAAAAAAAAAAAAAAAAAAAAAAAAAAGAGGAGGCGAAAGCTGACTTTATTCGGGTAGATGGGGGAAACCTCAATCTATTTACCGCTTGATCTGGGTTCTTCCCTTTGCTTTTATTTGGGTTATCCTTTTGCTTGATATGGGTCGATCTCTTTGCCTTGTGGTTGATGAATCCCTTGGTCGGGGCAGCATTTGGGCTGATCTCCTCTTGGGGAGAGTGGGTTCGACACCCAACCCGTGCCTAACTGTACAAGCTTTTGGTGTCGAGTCGTTGAGAAATATATTGGCTAACGTATGTTTGTGATTAGGGATGTTCACGGGAGTAAAATCGCCAACCCACATTAGAGTCATCGTCAGTGGTTGATCCAAAGAGATCTTCCATAGCCTTTTATCAACGGCTTTGATAGCGATTCTCGAGCATAAGGAGCGCCTCCGTGGGGCTTAATCTTACAGATCCCATACCTCTTCCATCTATCCCTGGCGATGATCCCAACTCGACGAAACCTATTCACCATCGGTAGGCTTGGATTTGTCTAAAGATTTATTGTAATTTGCACATCAACCCAACTCTCGCGACAGACCCTAGACCTTCGTATGGAGTATTCTACTACGCTCACTACTATCCCCCCTGCCGCTACTGTTGCTACTGCCCCTCTACCTTTGCTCATGCCTAACAGGGGCTGTGGTCGTTGCTGACGACTTCCTTCTGACGACTGCGATAGGACTAGGTAACGTAACTTGGACGGGCTGAAGGCGGCTCGGATAACGACAAAGCGTGAGTAACGGTGAATTGTTGGGTTCCGGATACTAAGCAGCTAAATATCCTCACCAATCTCGACGTACGTGCTTGCTGGACCTCTACCTGAGAAATTCATGAGTCAGTCTAATGTTACATATAAACGACTGAAGAATCTTTTACTGACCTGAGTGGGGATTCTGAAGCACATAAACTTCATTTATTAATACTAGGATATCCATGGCTCTTTCCCATGTGTAAGTAAATATCCAAAAGAGTCAAATCATGATATACCAACACTTACTTTATATTAATATGTACTTACTTCGGCC